TACTGCTTCAACGTATTGTAAATGTATTTTTTAATATGTCATCATCGTTTCAATACTACGTAGATCTTAAAGAATTATTCACCCAACACTGACAGTTACTTGAAATTTTAACTGAAACTTTATCCAAAGTTTCCGAGAACCATGTTGCATCAATGAATGTGCTTGTTCTTTACGGTAATAATAATCGAAGAATTATGTTTTCTTTTTTCATCTGAAATTTCTTTCGCGACAAAAAGTGGTTTTTGATATTCTCATGGACACGCTACTTTCTGAAAGCGGAACGTTTTGAATTTGAAAACACAATGTAACTGCTATAATAGTATTAAATATTCCTAGTATACCTAACATACTTTTTATAGAAAATTTTCTACGTATACTAAGAAAATTATTTTTCCAAAAGCAAAACACTAGAAATATCTAACAGCAATTCAGTAAATAACATATATAATTCAAGATAAAAATATATACGTTTTTCAATTTATTTAAATTAATTTATTACTAACAGTATAAGATATGTACATGTTAGAAACTTAAAGTCATAACAGATTAGTAACAAAAACGTGACTGCTGTATTTCGATTTTGACAGAAACAAAATGGATCTTTGACATTTTACCACAAATTGCACAGTGACGAGCTAAAACGTCACGAATGAATTTTCAGACGAAAAAAACGTTGCAGAACTTCGACAACTATCCGCGTAAAGAACTAGCTTCATTTCATTTGTAACATAATTGTTCGAATATTGCATAATTCGACGATGAACATCTTCATTGAAACTTATGCGTAATGTGTTTCTCTATGTGTGTCTTTTCTCTCTCTCTCGTTCGCCTTTTCACACCTGAACTCGTGCTCAGCTGCTTGATTAACGAGCTGACCGCGGGAGGGTAAGTCATCAACGTCACTCGGAGGAAGTTCCGTACTGCAGCTCGGTTTACACGCTTCTTTTAGGAGCTTCCTGCTTCCGGTAGGGCGCACAATTATCCTTAAAACACACGCCACGCCCTAGCCGCCCCGGCACGTTGGCAAAGTACAACGTATACTGCAAACACGTCATTTTCTCATGCCTATCCGTTAACGTTACCAAGACGTTCGTTCGTTATCAATATCGATACCCGGAATCATCGGCAGGCCATCACAGTGACTCCAGAAAATTGTCGTACCCTAATTTCCAATTTCCGACAAATGGTCAATATTTACACTGTTATACTTTCGTAAAAACGAATCGTAGAACAATAAACCTGAACTCATTCTGAAGCTTGGAGCTTTTACTTGTGCTACACGTTGTTCATTTTCTTGTAGCGTGATTTTACATGATGCAGTAGGCGGCAAACTGGATATATGATGTTTCTTGAAACTGTTACAGAATGAAACATGGATTAGAAAATTTTTTTGTGACTGATCGTAACATCAGATTGAAGATTGAAGTTTTTCCTTTACAACAACCCCTCAAACTTTGAAGTACGATTTTTTTTATCACTTTATTGAGCTTTGAATAATTACACGAGATACTTGAGGGAGGGATACACAAGTATCATCGTACTTGTTCCTCGATCCTGTCCCATAAAACGACTACAAAAAAATCGTACAATTTTCAATTTTCAAATCTATGGCAGATTCGTTAATGAAAAAAATTATCTAATATTTTTAGAAACGTTTCAATTTGAGATGGTAGTTTGAAACCTATATCTTTAGTTTTCCGCTTAGTATATCACGTAAAAGTATGTTAAGGAAAAATTAATAATGAAGTGTAAAAGTACATGCCCCAAGCTTCGTAATGAGGCTAAATTTATTGTTATATGACTTACTCTCACGAAATTATAACAGTTCAAATATCGACGATTTGTGTTTACTAAACTCACTGGTGCCCCGTATATTTTACATCGGTTCCCCTCACTTTTCCTCCTGGCACTGAACTGATTCAATAACACTGGTCAACAGGAATTTTGTCACAAAGAATATTTCAACTGATTCTTGTGCATTTTTTCTGACGCTGAACACGAATTCCAAAACTTGAATTTTTTAATTTAATTCAGCGGGAAAAATAAATTCGCTCCTCCGTAATCTTGCTTTTTCGTATTTCTCGATGAAGCTCAAATATATTTTGTTAATTTGAAAAGCTACATTTGTTAAAATAAAGCCACAGAACAGCAATGAAATTTTGATACTCTATTTTCACCAACTTTAGGACACTATTCAACGTAATTCGTACTAACAATTTTATGCTTAACAATAATAATATGACGCATTCCATATTATACGAAACAAAATCAGTGTACAGCGTGTGCCATAATATGAAGGTATAATTGAATATCCAAAAATAAATTAAATATATATGAGAATCTTCTTTTTACGAAATATCAAAGATTCGTTGTACATATTCCATTTATTTTTCTAAAAGTAATTAACTCGCGCGAAAGTCCCATGTTCCTGCAGATTAGCACTCTTTATGTGAGTGTATACGTATTCTTTCTTGGTGGTTCATTATGCAGGGTGTCTGTTATTCATTGGTCTGTTTAAAGTATGTAAATGAGAAAGCAAAAGACGAAAGATTTAATCTGATGAATGGTCGAACGTTATTAATACTATATTAATTGAAATTGAAATTTCATTAATTCGTAGGAACGTTAAGCTGTGTTCGTAAAATTTTAATACCGATGGAGACCAATCTGGAAAAAAGCAATCTCATTCAAACAACACATATACACGAGCGCACATAGATACACGTTATCACCGCTCCGTTGTCAGCAATCGTACAAGGGTGGAGTCAACCCTGGATGTCACAGCGAAGGCTTATCGACAAGGCAATGTGAATATTAGCTATCATTTATGATCAAATGAGAGACCTCATTCCTATTAATTTTTTGTATTTTTTTTATTTCTGTTGATATTATTATAGTTCTTAATTGTTACTTGTCAATAGCGTGTCAACCTTTTATCTTAAAACAGACATCCATATAATTCAGTTACAGAGAAATAAAAAAATTAAAGCAAAACAGTTAATAATACTACAAAATATAGTCAATCGCAGTTAACACGTCAAGTGCCGAATATGAACCCCAAAAATTAATCAAAACAAAACTAAAAGGACTCTAAAAGTCCTAGTAGGATTCGGTTTTTGTTCACAGTTGCATGTTACAATAAAAATGGATTTCAAAACCTATTTAAAGATTAGTTTGTTAAAAAGAGATACTGCAATATGAAGTGTAACACAACAACAAAAGTAGCAATACAATAAATATATGTAATGTTCGAATTGCTGCGGATAGAAACAATTCATATAGGCGTCAGAAATATTCATGATCATTAAACTGCAGATCTTTATGTGAAATAAAAATTGTGTGCATCGATTGCAATAAACAGGAAATGCATGGACATTTATTCCCGTCTTGAATAATTTTAATGAGTTATAAATAATATAATCAGATTGTTGAAACCTTCGAATAGTGTCACTGTTTCGTGTTTCAACTTTCAACTACTCATTTTTGTTATAAATGCATAAAATCCACAGTCCAATAATTACTTATTTTAAAACGTAACTACAAGAAACGTATGAAAGTCGACCTTTTCCGAAAGTGTCAAGCGATGTTTCCGGCTCGTGTTCGCCTAGTGTGAATAACATTTGGCATTCAACCGCAGTGGTTCCTGCGCATTGTTATACTGATACGTATATACCTGACCTTAGAGCCGAGCATAACTATAATTCCTACCATAGAGGAAGCCTAAAGAGGAAGACTTTTGTGCTCACATCTTATTGTTTGCTTCCAGTCAACTGAAACACGTTCAATGTGAAATTAAATTGTAGTGTGGACCACTAGCGTCGAGTAGTCTAATGTACCAGTCCAAAGTAATCTACAGTACGTCTAAAGTTTCTTACTCGCGCGAATACTAAATTCCAACACATTTAATTATTATTGAATAGAAGTTGATTTGTGGATAATGAAGGATGAATTAAAAGTTCTGTAAAACACAATAACATAAAAAATTGTTATAGCTCTGTTACGTAAGCCTCTACCTTCAAGCTTTAATTTAAAATGATTTAAAGAAATGAAATAAAATATTAAATTAAATATGATTTAACTTTTGCTTGAAACGATTCATATGAGAAAAAACATTAAGGATCTTTTATAGTACCTGCTATGTATCCTCAATGATTTTTCAACTATTATTTTTTATTATTATGTAAATACTTTTTCCGTTTTGCCATTTTTATCAGTATATTAAGAAGACCAATAAACAACAGAACATCCTGAATATATATGCAATATTTAAATCGTGTACGTATAAAAAGTAACCATATTTATGCTCAAGTTGTTCGTTAGTATGGCGTTATACTTCATAAAGGTCGAAAACGAAATTTATAACGCGAATATCCTAAAAACCCTTCACGAAACGTAATCTTTGACAATTATATGTATAGGAATTTGCAAATGCCCACGATACGCATAACTTCACCGTAATGTATTTCACTATCCATTTCCTAAGCAAAAGTACACCACAATTTGTAAGCTTGCAATTTTTAATGTTTACCACTTTTATAGTTTTTAATAATGCCAAGTTTAAAAACCATGTCAATAATAACTTCTATAGAACGACGATTTGAACCGTTGCAGAATTGTGCATGATATCTGGCAATATTCAAAACGAATGGTAAACGTTGCTCCCAAATGTTATTTAATAAACGTCCAAGTAATATTATTATATCGTCACTTTAAGTTTTATTTCAAGAAGACTAGTTTCACATTGTTTAACTATCATTCTAAAACAGTTTATTTTGTTATAATCTAAACGAAGATATATCACATCCCGAATCCATCTTTATGCAAAATAAAAATTTTATAAATTACAAAAAATAAGCAAGCACTAAGAAACGAGAAAGTTAGATGAAAATGTTTTGTCCACTTTTAGTAACTCTAATAAATTAAGAACAATGTAACAGTATTTTTATATATATAAATCTTTCTAATGTCTTCACAGTTTTGTCTTTGACCTGTTCATTTAGGTCACAAACAATAAAAGATGAAAATACAAAACACATGATTTTCATTATCTTTGCAAGAAGGATAATAATTAAGCATTTATTATGATCTATTTAAAAAAGTCTTAATTGATATAAAAAGAATGTAGTACTAAAAATACAATATTTCTCTGAAAACACCACAGATTTTTAATTCAAAATTAAAGTGGC